ACCACAAAACACACACATGTGGTCCGTTTTATAATTATGGAGTTTTTGGTAAGCCACATGTTGAGTTTTGGATTCCTCGTGCTGATTTGGAGAGGTTCTCATAATTGACACGTGCAAAGAAGAAAGAACATATCTATCGAAGCTTAACTTAACTACCAATGAAATGGAAACTACATGTCGATCACATGCAAAGTTGACTCGTACCTTCTGCCCACTAGCCTTCTTCCTTTTTGTGCATAACTAAATTTCTATGGTAAAAAAAAAAATCTATGGTCGATGGCTTGGGATGCATTTTTTTTATGGGGAAAAAGATGTTGAACACAAATTTATTCGACATCTCAAGACTAAGATACTTGCTATGACTGCGAATATGCTTGTGAAAGAGGTAAGCAACGGTAATTGAAAGATTGAAGATACTTACAAGATAGTGAGTATGATTATTGTTTTTTTATGGGACAATTGACTAAAAGAGAAACTAAATAATCTCAATACCCTTAGGTCTCTCTAATCAGATAACTTTATTCTATATATCCAAAGAAAAAGGCACATTTTTTATTAGAGAAAACTCAAATATCACGTATAGATACAAGAATTAAATATCTGTTTTTGTATCTAATCACAAAGTAACCTTGTAGTACTTTAAGTAATTAGGGTTTAATTCATCTTCAAAGTTCTAGACAAAGGGGTCAATAAATATTCGGTAGGTGATATTGATAATGATGAAACTTTGGTTCTTAAGTTTGAAATGATTGTATTATTTTGCATCATGTTTGGAAAAGTTAGTTAAAGGAGAGTGTTTAACATTTCTTTGACCGAGTCAAAGTTAGGCATTGGTAGAGAAGAACTGTATGCTGTTCTGATTTTAGAAAAGCAAACTACGTGTCGTTTTAGGTACAGTCTATCAAAGCTGCCAAGTGCATACGTAAATGTGTAACCCAACAAAGAAATAATGGAATGTTGTGTCAGGGACAAGAACCCTACTTGTTGACACATACACACCCAAGAGTATGGGTCATGAAGTGGAACCCATCAAATTTAGCCATTAGTGTGGATCAACCCGAACTCGACACGTTGAGCCAAGGACGAAACATTGAATGGACAAAAGTGGAGAAAAAACGGTTCGATCATGATGAACCATATTCCTACAAAAAGCAAAAAATATATATATATATACTTAACACACATTTTATTATGACATCATCACACCAACTTTGAAAATGAAGTTAGGAACGAGGGTTTTCAATAAATGAAAAAATCTTTTCCTTATTTGATTATTAGAATTCATGAGTAGTGTTTTGTTTGTCACACTTGTTTAGGTTTCCATCCAAAAGTTTTAATCAGACTTTCTAACTATTATTGTTTAAGTTTTTTAAAAAAACTATTATTGTTATGTTCTTGTTTTTGTAATTTCTTTTGAGTATTTAATTTAATCTAAAGTGTCCTTTTTTAAAAAACCATAAAAGCACCCACTCTTTAAACCATAAAAAGGAAAAGCAGAAAGCTTGTTACTTGAATGCAATTGGATATATGGCACAGTGTTGTCTTTGTTGCTTTGTTATTGTGTCTATATAATTTATTGTCTCATTTTCTAAGTTGCATCACAAAGTGAAACAAGAATGAGTTAGCTTGAACCACACGTTCTTCTTTCAAGAAATAAACTTTTTTCTTCATATCCATAAGAGAAAGAAAAAAAGAAAAAAATGCAAACTGATTTAGCTAGGAGAATGGAATTAGTGAAGTCGAGGTTCAAGAGGGTTTGTGTGTTTTGTGGAAGCAGCAGTGGAAACAGAGACTGTTACAGAGATGCAGCCATTGATCTAGCTCAAGAGCTGGTTCGGTTATGCTTAAAACCTTAACAAGAGTCTTAAACCTTGAAATGAGTCTTTAATTTGTTCTTTTTTTGTTGGAACAGGTTGCGAGGAGATTGAATCTTGTGTATGGAGGAGGAAGCATTGGTCTCATGGGTTTGGTTTCACAAGCTGTTCATGAAGCTGGAGGACATGTACTAGGGTATGCTCTTCAAATCTATGATCTCTTTCACTTTAGTTTTTGTGACATTTTTGTGTGATTTGCTTCCATCTTTATGTGTTAGGATCATACCAAGGACTCTTATGGACAAAGAGGTAGGCTTTTTCTACTTTTTTTTTTTTGCTTAAATGATTTACTTTTATGTTCAAAGAGAATGTCTCTGAAAAATGTGAATTTATAAATAGATCACCGGAGAAACATTTGGTGAGGTAAGAGCTGTTGCTGATATGCATCAAAGGAAAGCCGAAATGGCAAGCCACTCCGATTGTTTCATCRCATTACCTGGTACACAATAACTACCTTATCTTAAATACTTTGTAGAAACTTGAAAATGTTCGTTACTCATTAGGTCCTCTTTTAGAGACTCTTAGTGCATACTACGCCTAATTAATCAATCCTATGGAGAATCAAAGAAGCAAGTGTGAAAGTAAGGCTGTCTATAAAAAGATCGATTTTCCGAACCAATTAAATCTTGATTGTAACAAGATTATGAAACAAGATACTGTTTCATTTATTGAGCATCCTAGGAAAAATTTGGTTACAAACTTGAGACTAGGTCATGGTTTTTTTTTTAAGTTTACATCTTTCTTCCATAACAAGGCTCATTTGTAATTGCTCTGTTATTGCAAAATTGTTTAATCAGGTGGGTATGGAACACTAGAAGAGTTATTGGAAGTAATAGCATGGGCACAACTTGGAATCCACGACAAACCTGTAAGTAAAAAAGAAGAAGACAAATCTCACTTTTCTAATGTTCATTGCTCTCTAAATCACTAACCAAAAATCAAAAATCTATAATAAAGTCATAATCTTTTGTGTTTCCACTTTGGGGGAACAAATAAAACTGCAGGTGGGATTGTTAAATGTGGATGGTTATTACAATTACCTTCTCACTTTCATTGATAAAGCCGTTGATGATGGCTTTATCAAACCATCTCAGCGACATATCTTTGTCTCTGCCTCCAATGCCAAAGAGCTTGTCCAAAAACTTGAGGTAGGTACCCACAAAAAACT